GAGAGAGAGAGAGAGAGAGAGAGAGAGAGAGAGAGAGAGAGAGAGAGAGAAGTTGAGTGTGGTAGTGCACACCTTTAATCCCAGCACTTGGGAGGCAGAGGCAGGTGGATCTCTGGGAGTTCAAGGACAGATTGGTCTACAGAGTGAGTTCCAGGACAGTTAAAGATATACAAAGAAACCTTGTCTCACAAAAACAAAATTAAAAATAAAAGATATAGAGTTTAAAATAAAGTCATGTGAAGATGGGAAATACACAGAGAGTCTGGATATTATATATTATTGTTTTGTTTTTGAATTGTTTGATGGCTGAGGAAAGAGCAACAGCTACTAAAAGACATTTGATTACAAATGCTGCTGTATTAATACAACATATATATTTTTGAAATGCTTTGACTTCAAAAATTTAAGTCAAAAGATATGTTACTTTGGAGAAGAGGTTTTGTTTTTGTTTCCGCAGGAAATGAGAGGCTGTGGATTCATTCTGGGTTAAGAAAAATCCGTTTTTATCAAGGAAGACCCCTTGAAGAATCTTCGATAGGAGCAGATAGTTCATATGATCCAATATTTCAGAGGACTTCTGTTGGAGTTTCCTCTGAGTTTTACATCCAGAACAGCCTTAAGACTGCTGGCTGAGATGATCAAGTCTCACAGAATATTTCAGTTATGACTTGGCCATAATTCTAAATTTTCTTTAGGTCCCCATAATATTATCAGCACCCCCAATCAGCAGAAGTTCCCTAGAAAACTATGCCCACATTCCCAAAGAATGGTTTATGGATATTTGTCTTTGTTTAGAGTTTTGATTACAAGTTATTATGGATAATGGCCAAGAAAAAAGCTAAACAATGGAGATTATATACAGAGTTTTTGTTTTAAAAACAAAAGAGGGGGAGGAAGTGCTCTGGGACAGTGATCTTGTACTCTGTAAAGATTTGTCTGTTGTTTAGGTTTAATAAAATGCTGATTGGCCAGTAGCCAGGCAGGAAGTATAGGAGAACAGGAGGATTCTGGGAAGAGTAAAGGCTCAGCCTGCACAGAGGAAGCAGGATGAGAATACTTCACTGATAAAAAGGTACCAAGCCATGTGGCTAACATAGAAAAGAATAATGGGCTAATTTAAGATGTAATAATTAATTAATAAGAAGACTGAGATAATAGGCAAATTATTTAACAGGACTTGAAAACTGAGATAGAAAAAATAAAGAAAACACAAGCCAAAGAAATTATAGAAAGAGAAATCATGAGAAAAAGAGCAGAAACCACAACTACAAGTATGAACAACAGAATACAAGAAATAGAAGAGAGAATCTCAAGTGCTGAAGATAAAACAGAGGAAATAGACTCCAGTTAAAGAAAACATTAAATCTAACAAAAGCTTAACCCAAAATATCCATGAAATATGGGACACCATAAAAAGGCCAAATCTTAAAATAATAGGTATAGAAAAAAGAGAAGACGTTCAACTCAAGGGCACAGAAAATTTATTTAACAAAATTATAGAAAAAAACTTTCCCTACCTAAAGAAAGATATGTTTATGAAGATATAAGAAGCTTATAGAATACCCAATAGACTGGATCCAAAAAATAAGTCCCTTTGCCACATAATAATAAAAACACTAAACATAGAGTAAAGAAGGAATACTAAAAGCTGCAAAGGAAAAAGGCCAAGTAACATATAACAGTAGACCTATCAGAATTATACCTGACTTCTCAGTGGAGACAATGAAAACAAGAAGGTCATGGTCATTCTTGACCATGCAGACATTAAGTGACCATGGATGCCAGCCCAGACTACTATATCCAGCAGAACTGTCGATCACCATAGAAGGACAAAACGAGATATTCCATAACAAATCTATATTTCACCAATACCTACCCACAAACCCAGCCCTACACAAAATACTAGAAGGAAAACTCTAACCCACGGAAGATGGCTACACCAACAAAAACACAGACAATTGATGATCTCATTACAGCAAGTCCTGAAGCAGAAAAAAATGCACAAATTAATGTCCCAAATACAAGGGCATATGTCAAAGAAACACTTCTAAAACTTAAATCATATATTAAATCCCACACACTAATAGTGGGAGACTGTAGGTACCAAGGTCTTTTTCCCTTCTCCTGGAGATTCGCAGGGCCGTGTGACCTCCAGCTCCCTGGAGATTCTGCACTAGCACTGGCTTGAGGGGTTAGCTTAGGAAGAACCTGGTTCTCTTTGTTATGGTGATTCCACCTGTATTCAAGGTTCTAGCAGTGGGCTCCACACACCTGGCCTCCCCCAGCTGATTCTGCCTGAGGTGCCGGGGCCTTTATTCTCCTTCCTGCTTCTGTTGGGAGGAGGCCTTGCCCTTTTTGATCCCGCTTGCCCACTTCTATAAATACCCGACTTGAGTTTAATAAAGTTGCCATTTACTCTTGGTAAATGAGCAAGGTCCTTTTTTTGTGTGTGTCTCTTTAAACCCTCAGGACAATCGTCCATTCTCGTGGGCCCGAGTTCGGGAAGGCACGCGCCTGGATCGGGTGTGGGTATCCACAGAAAAGTGCGGGGTCCAACAGGAGACTTCAACAGTTCCCTCTCACCACTGGACAGGTCAATCAGACAAAAAATTAACAGAGAAATAAGAGAACTAACAGATGTTATTAAGACTCAAATGGACTTAACAGACATCTATAGAATATTCCATCCAAACAGAAAAGAATATACCCTGATACCCAAACCACAGAAAGGCAACACTAAGAAAGAGAATTATAGACCAATCTCACTCATGAACATTGATGCAAAAATACTAAATAAAATACTAGCCAATCGAATCCAAGAACACATCAGAATCATCATCCACCATGACCAAGTCAGCAGAAAAATATAACGATAGCTTAAATTTTGCAGGAAAATGGATGGAGCTAAAAAACATTATTTTGAGTGAGGTAACCGAGACACAGAAAGACAATTATCACATTAAAAACACAATTAAACATAAAGCAAAGAAAATCAGCCTACAAACCACAGTCCCAGAGAACTTAGACAACAATACAGACACTAAGAGAGACTTACATAGATCCAATCTACATGGAAAATATAAAGTAGAAAAAGACAAGATCTCCTGAGTAAATTGGGAGCACGGGGACCTTAGGGGAGGATTGAAGTGGTGAGGGGAGAGGCAGGAAGGGGAGCAGAGAAAAATGTAGAGCTCAATAAATATCATAGAAAAAAGAAAAGAAAAGAAAAAAGAAAATGTTTACAGTAAAATGTTAATAGTTCCTATAGTCAAGGAAATAAGAGATATTTTTGTCCTAATATGAATGACTATAGACGGGAGGCACAAATTTATGTTTTCCCCCACAATAACATTTCTGCATGAAACAAAGTCAAATCAAGGCATTTACTATATACACTGGTGGGGATATGAGGCATGTGGTTACTGGGAGACTGGGAAATACCTGATACAAGTCTTACATGCTAGCTGGGAAGTGGTGGTGCATGCATTTAATCCCAGCACTCAGGAGGCAGAGGCAGGTGGATCTCTGTGTCAAGGCCAGCCTGGTCTACAACAAGAGCTAGTTCCAGGACAGGCTCCAAAGCTACAGAGAAACCCTGTCTTGAAATACCAAAAAACAAAACCAAAAACAAAACCAAAAAACCCCACAAAAAACCTCAAGTCTCACACAGTATGTGAAGACATTCTTAGCTTTGAGAGCGGTGAAGAAGAGCAGCCTTCTGTGCTTTACTGTGCTGGCTGTGAGGAGAGAGTTTTGTTTTGTTTTTTTTAACAGTTCTTACTTAGTTTTTATTCATAATCATAAACTTAACTCTGCAATCCAACTAGACTTGAAGGGGAATGAGGAAAATATGGAACCCAAAGAACTTCAGTGAGAGCAGAGATTACAGGGTACTGCGAGCAGATGGGGCTGGGGTGCTCTCCTGAGCTACAGAAGGAATGGTCTGATGGGTAAGAAGTCAAAAGAATTAGAGCTGTCCACAGTTGGAAATGGTGATCTTCTTGCTGGTCTTGCCATTCCTGGACCCAAAACGCTCCATGGCTTCCACAATGTTCATGCCTTCTTTCACCTTTCCAAAGACCACGTGTTTGCCATCCAGCCACTCAGTCTTGGTGGTGCAGATAAAAAACTGGGAACCGTTTGTGTTTGGTCCAGCATTTGCCATGGACAAGATGCCAGGACCTGTATGCTTCAGGATGAAGTTCTCATCCTCAAATTTTTCTCCGTAGATGGATCTGCCGCCAGTGCCATTATGGCGTGTGAACTCACCACCCTGGCACATGAATCCTGGAATAATCCTGTGAAAGGAAGAACCCTTATATCCAAATCCTTTCCCTCCAGTGCTCAGAGCACGAAAGTTTTCTGCTGTCATTGGAACTTTGTCTGCAAATAGCTCGAAGGAGACGCGGCCCAAGGGCTCGCCGTTGGCCACGATGTCGAAGAACATGATGGGGTTGACCATGGCTGCAGCAAGCGGCAAGAGGGGACAGCAGCAAGCGGCAAGAGGGGACAGCAGCGTCTGCAAAGCGGGGGAGGAGAGATTTTTTTAAAGAGGGGCTCTGGTGCCAGTCCACTTGACTTGAATGAAACAATAAACAGGAAGCATTAAAAATTTCCAGGACTCAGGCGGTGGCGCCACACACCTTTAATCCTAGCACTCAGGAGACTGAGGCAGTCGGATCTCTGTGACTCTAAGGCCAGCCTGGTCTACAGAGTGAGCTGCCAGGGCTGTTACACAGAGAAACCCTGAAAAATCAAAAAACAAAACAAAAAACAAATGTCTTAGAAGACAAAATGCACCCATGGAAACACAATTGATCAAAATAAACCAAACCCTTGTTGCCTTCTACTACAATGATTTGGACAAGTGAAGAAGACACTCGGGGATAATAGTTAAGTGGTATCCACGTTACACTGGGAGATTTGTCCCTGTCTCATGTTCCTTTTGCTCACCACAGTACTACCCAAACACACTTCTTGTATTCATGTTGTCTTGACTCTGCATCCTGGAAGTTCAGCTGGCACACCTTGGAATGCATGTGGTGTGATTTATACATCTAGAAGTCACACTCACACAGAAACCCTGGGGGTGGTAACAGAAGCATGTTCTCCTTTGGATAGTTATGGTGGTTTGAGTGAGAATGGTTCCCATTGATCACTAGCGGATTTGTTTAGAAAGGATTAGGAGGTGTGGCCTTATTGGGAGAGGTGTGTCAGTGGGGTGGGCTTTGAGAGTTCAAAAGCCCATGCCAGGCCCAATGTCTGTCTGTTTGCTCTCTGTCTCTTTCTCTTCCCCTGCAAATCAGGATGTAAAGCTCTCAGCTGCTACTCCAGCACCATGCCTGTCTGCTTCCCACTGTGTTGATCATGGACTCATCATGGATCATCACTCACCGTAAGCAAGCCCTTGGTTAAATGCTTGCTTGGTTATGGTGTTTCTTTATAGCAATAGAACAGTAACTCAGACAGAAATATTGACTGAATAGGGCCTGGGGAGCCAGTAGGGTGTTGAAAACATCCTGTATTTAGACCTGGGTGGTGGTTCTGTTCATATGGTCAATAAACATACACTGAGCACCTGTGACTTCCAGGCAAAGGAGTGTCTGATGAAAAGATGGTTCATTAAGTGTACCATTCCTGGTGGTTAACAGTGGATGAGCAACCACAAGAGACCAATGAGGATGCCCTGCAGGGACCTTTCCTTACTGTGCCAGCCACTCCCCAAATCATCATGTCCCAGCAAACTGAAAGGTGCTGGGGTAAGTTGTGGACAGTTCTCTCTATGTGTTCCATGTCTTAGTCTTTTTTTTCTTTTTTTCTTTTTTAACTTTTCACTTTTATTTGTGACAAATATTCCCTGATCTCTTCTGGTCAAAAATTCTTTGAGACAATTCCATCAGCTTTAGTCAATTGGAGAATAGAATCATCTGACTCACCCATCATGAGAATGGCCCCAGAGATAGTGTAGGTTTTAAACTGGCCATTAAACTGGCCTGTGACCCTGTCAACCTCGGCCACATTCATCTGGATGGATGCACGGTCCTTGGGACCAATGATGAGGTTGATTGTAGTGTATTTCCATGGCACATACAGGTCCATGAATTCACCCATGTTGTTCTGCATGTTGAGGTCGTGCCTGCTCACTAGGCTGTGGAAGCACAGAAAAAAACCCATGTCTTAGTCTTAACTAAGGGATAGATAGGGCTAAAATCTTTGAGGAAGAAGTCCTCCTAGAAGGAATGAAGAGACATATCCAACTTTGTTTGGTCACCTTGTTCACTAATTCATCCTGCACCAGCATCCTCCTGCCAGGTGGTGGAAGTGGCCAGCTCTGCATCTGGGATAGAGTCCTGTCTATCCACAGAATGAGTTGCAGTAGAAGTGATAAGGGGGCACAAGAACAGCCTCTGGGAACTGGGTCCCCATCTCTGTATAACTTGAGCCAAGCCAGGACAAAGGGAGGCTGTGACTCTGGCCAGCTGTGGGATGGAACCAATGGTACAGGAGACTAGATCCTCCAAAAAGTGTGGTAAGGGGCAGATGGATCCATGTTGAAGGGTGAGGACCCACTTGTTTGTCCCGGGCATCCAGCTAGCTTACATCCAAAATAACTACACAGAAACTGTATTAATTAAAACACTGCTTGGCCATTAGCGCTAACTTCTTATTGACTAACTCTTACATATTAGTTTAACCCATCTCCATTAATCTGTATATTGTCACGTGGCTGTAGCTTACCGGAGATTCTAACCGGTGTCCATCTCAGGTGAAGGATCCATGGCGTCTCTCTGACTCTGCTTTCTTCCTTCCAGAATTCAGTTCTGTCTTCTCCGCCTACCTAAATTCTGCCCTATCAAGGGCCCAAAGCAGTTTATTAACCAATGAAAGCAACACAAAGACAGAAGGACCTCCTATACCATTTCCCCTTTTCTGTTTAAACAAAAAGGAAGGCTTTAACATAGTAAAATTACATATAACAAAACAGTTATCAAACAAGAATTACACTTACAATATTTATATCTATTTTATCTTTTATCATAACTGAGGAAAACTATAATTATAATTATCTATCTATATTGTATTGTGGGGGGAGCTTTGAGACAAGGTTTCTCTGTAGCTTTGGAACCTGTCCTGGAACTAGCTCTTGTAGACCAGGCTGGCCTTGAACTCACAAAGATACTCCTTCCTCTACCTCCCAAGTGCTGGGATTAAAGGCCTGCACCACCACAACCCGGCCTATCTATCTATTCTTTAACTCCATCAAAGACTCCGGAAGGATATAATATTACCTAAGTAAACAAGACGTGCATTGTAAGCAACTTCCAAAACTCTAGAATTGGCAGAGACATCTTGCTGCCTGGACAGTCACCCAAAGTTCTTTAGTATCATTGGGGCATCTATCTTCAGCCTACAGGCCCATAGTATCAAGCAGACTTTTCCATGAAGCAGGAAATTTCAAAGACAGTTCAGTCACTTTCTTCTGTGTCCTGCAGAATGTCTTGCAGACTCTTTCATGTATTAGAAACTCTGAAGGACCATCTCGCCTTTAGGCAAGTTTAGCTGTCATCTCTCTGTGGGTACTGATGTCCAGTGAAGCAGTCCAGGCAAGAGCAGTTTCTTGCCCAAACGGCTAGCAAACTTCATAAGGATTCTCTTCGATGCCCATCTTCCTCTTGCAGTAGCTGTTGCTTCCAGGAGCAGATGTGTCTCATTGTCATGAAAAGTCCTAAATTCTTAAAACACTTTAAATGCCATATTCTGAAGGTCTCTGAAAGATTTGAAGAATATCTATTTAACTGAAATGTATCTCTATACATCTAGAAAACCTAACTAACATGACTACAAACTTGACTATTACAAATTATCTATTAACCTATACTTCTTAATTATACATTACATTTTTAAATAAACTATACAATCACAATACCTAAATCAAGGGCAGAAATGTACATATAACAAAATTGACCTTAAATTTGTATAAATAAACCAAGATCTATACCAATGCAAATTATCCATGTCTATATCATATTCCCCTTTAAATGTAAATAAACATTTATAAACAATATTTGGGAATATGGGTGTAGTTTTTTCCATACTGCTTTCTTTTGACTGGGGGTGCTGTTAATCAGATCTTTTATGGTGTATCCTGTGTGCTAGGTTCATCTCAGTAAACAATTGGGCAAAGTAAATTTTTAAGGGTGTTTATGGCAACCTTTCAGGAGGCCTTGGTCCATTAAACCATATTTGTCTGGAGGCAATCCACAGGTTCTCATCTTCTGTGAAAACAAAAGAAGAACCTGTTTTCCCAAGCAACATGTTCTTAGACCCAAATTCTGAAATCAAGATACCTTTATAATATACATGCTGGTTTAACTTAGCAGCTGATATGAAATATCTCTCTGTACTTAGTTCCTTCACAGTCAAAAAATCCAAAGAAAACACAATAATATACAGACTCTGTGGATCTTCCATTTTTACGTGGCTTATTTTTCTTTGCTCCTTTTAATCTATGACTATCTGTACTCTGCCTCTTTAAAGACTTTACCCTTTTTTTAAAAAGGCAATAACTTTATTTTATGACTCTTTATACTTTTTTCTCTCCCAAGCCTACGTACATTTATTCAACACTGTGACCAATTTAGAGGTCGTTTATGTCTGAATCTGTCCTATTGTGAATCTGCAATTCTTTACTGTCCAGGAGCACTTCTTAAAATACTAAGTGCTTCTTAAAAACTTAAGTTGTGCCATTAGTAGGGGTAATAAGGTACTGCCTGTTTGCCTGCCCAGTCTAAAACTTAAGCTGTGCTATCACTATGATAAATATGGTAGTCCCAGTCTCAAGGGGTAAGAAATTGGATGATTTCTGTCCCTAAGTTCTGTTCTTTCTGTCTCAGCCAGTTTCAGCTCTGGCTCTGACCATTTTAGATTCATCAGCTTCCCTCTCTGCCTTGTTCCCACCATGCAATACTCAACCAAAGAGAAACAGGAGCCTTAAATAACTGTTTCTTCCATTTGTTCTCTGAATGGATGCTTAGGATAAGGTTTTTAGATGACTCCTTAGAAGATCTGTTTGTGTTTATTCTCAGCTGTGAACACCATAACCAGAATTGTTGGTGCATTCATGCTCTCCTTCTGCTCTACCCTCTGCTCCATGAACACACTTACACAATTTACAAATAATTCACCTGGTCCAGCATTCTGGACCCAGGCTCTGCTTTTGGGAAATGATAGGGCATCCAGTTTGAGATCCAGAGGTTCATGACCTGGATACCCAAATCCTTTGCTATCCTGTCATTGTCTTGTTCACATTTTCACATCCCTTTTGTGTCTTCATGCCTGTCCCCCAAGTCTGCTGAGACTATCTGAGGACAGAACTGTACCTGGTCTCCTGTTGTACCCCAGTACAGGGCCTGCCTTTGAGGACATGGCAGGCTCAGTGAGTGGATAATGAAGAACTGAAGGTTGCTCCTCTCTCCTCACTCAAACACACTGTGTAAGAACTTCCAAAGCGTCGGGCTGTGGTGGCGCGCACCTTTAATCCCAGCACTTGGGAGGCAGAGGCAGGCAGATCTCTGTGAGTTCGAGGTCAGCTTGGGCTACAAGACCTAGTTCCAGGACAGGCTCCAAAGGTACAGAGAAACCCTGTCTTAAAAAACAAACAAAAAGGGAAAAAAAGAAAAGAAAAAAAGGAAAAAATCCAAAGCATTCTCTCTCTCTCTCTCTCTCTCTCTCTCTCTCTCTCTCTCTCTTTCCTCTCTCCTTTCTCCTCTCTCCCCTTACTCCTGGGTTGGGAAAGCAAGTCAGTTGTTCAGGCTGGCCTTGAGCTCACGCTAGCCTGGACTGTCCTTGAACTTGTCATTTCCCCCCCCCCCCTTGCCCTCAGCCTCCCAAGCAGCTGGGTCTGCCGGCCTATGTCACCTGACTTGATTCTTCTGGAGTTGTGGGACATGGAACATGCACCTGTGGAGGGAGATGGTTCTCTACTTCAAGCATAAGGTTTCTGGAATTGAATTCTGGTCCTAAGGCTTGGCAGCAAGTGCTCTTTACCCCCTGAACCATCTTGCTGGCTCTCAACTTTCTGAGACAAACTTTTACTCAGTAGCTCAGGTTGGCTTCAAGTCTGACTTCAGCCTCACAAAAATCCTGCTACCTCAGCCTTCCAAGAGAGCAGCACCCTGGATGATGATACTTGAAGCGCTCCATGTTAGCTGTGCAAGAGCCCCTGCTCCGAACGTTTAGTGTCTTCCAGGCAGGACTTCAGTTTCAAAGCAATGCCCACCTGGAGCAGGTGGCTGTGAGTGTTGTGGCCACGGAAGCCCTTATGCCTTCCTAATTATGCAGCACATGAAGCTGCTGCTCATTTTCTATAATCCAAAGACTTGGAGCATCTGAATCCCATCTGTACCATATGAGAAAGCTTCTACTGAATGGTGATCAAGGGCCAGGCAGATCAGTGATGGCCACACAAGAAGCATGAGACCAGACTGTGGCCAGACACTCACACTACAGTAGGGAGATCATTTTCTATGGATAGAGAAGGGATGAAGCCTGTTCCCTGTGAATTATCATTAGCAGGGGCAAATAGAGGTTGGATACAATGGATGATGAGTTCTAGTCATGGTTCCCCTGCTTTTAATACTTAACATTTTAAAAATGTATTATTATAGTGTGTTTGTATGAGCAAGATGCATGGGAAGTCACAGTACATGTACAGCGGTCACAGGACAACTCTGTAGAGTCAGTTCTTTCTTTCCATCTTTACATGGGTTCCAGGGCTCAAGACTTGTGTGGTGCCTTCAGAGCCATTCCACCAGCCCTCTGGCTTCTGTAGATCCTCAGTGTCTTTCTGTGACAGTGACTTGGCTGGGAGACAAGGTTAAAACCTGTGTTGTGCTGGGTGGTGGTGGCATATGCACCACTTGCATCCCAGCACTTGGGAGGCAGAGGCAGGTGGATCTCTGTGAGTTCGAGGCCAGCCTGGTCTACAAAGTGAGTTCCAGGACAGCCAGAGCTACACAGAAAAAACCCTGTCTCAAAGAAATAAAAGCCCAAACAAACAAAGAAAAAAAAAATCATGTGTTGTGGGCCTCCAAAGACAGGGAGACTTTTTTGCTGGAGATAATTCTTATCTTTACTTGAATTTGTTCATAAGATGCAGGATGTTTCCCAAGGTTCCACTCAGATCAGGTAAAAAACCCAAATAACAACAACAACAACAACAACAACAACAAAAAACTGGTGGACAGCCTGGTCTACAAAGTGAGTTACAGGAGGGGGAAAGGTGCCTAATTGAGTAGTGTTAGCATCAGAAGCAGAAAGCAATGTGTCTAATTATCATGTCTTTTCAGTCTAGAGCATCTGTTGAGTCCACCTTTTTGCTTATACCCTTTCCTCAGAAGGAAACTATTCAACACATGAGAAGCCGGAGGCAGACACGCATGGAATAGTCGGGTGTGATGCTGGTGTGGCCTTTTGCCCTCTTAACCCCTGCCTTTTTTCTCTTTCCTTCCTCTTCACCTCCTCTCCAAGATCTTATAGTGTAGTCCAGGTTGGTTCAGAATTTCCCCATAGCCTTCTGCCCCAGCTTCCCAGTTTACCACCACCAGGACTCCAGCCCTATCTTTTTTTTTTTTTTCATTAACCAGAAATGGCTGCATGACTTGGGGCAACCTTTAATTACCTCTGTTTCTCACTTCGAGGTGGTATCGGTGAGGAGACTATAGAGTGTTAATTGCAACTGCCCCACAGAAGCACGTTTGCCTGCATTGTGAAATGCTAGGGTAAATTAGCATTGCCTGAACTCTTTAAAATCAACACAGCACCTTACTCCATGGAGGCATCCCCCAGCTTGACCCCTTTTGGCCTTAGCACTCTGTTTGGTGTCTGGATGCCTTTTAGGGACCAATCTGCAAAAGTGAGGGATAGACACTCCCCAAGGCTCCAGATGACCACTCCTGTTTAACTCCGCCCCACGGAGAGAAGTGAGGTAGGGGGCGGGGTTGGAGGTGAAGGTCGGCAGGATTGGTGAGTATCCTAGCCCTTCTGGTCAGTCCCCTACCTGCCATCCTCCTACTTGTGCCCTGTGCGGGCTAACGATGCTGCTGCTGCTGCTGCTGCTGCTGCTCCTGCTAGGACCCGGACCCCGAGTCAGCGAGGGTGAGTGAGGTCTGGCTTCCTCCAGCCTAGGTCAGATTCCATACCTTCTCATTTTTTCTCACCGCCCCCAACTCAACAGATCTTTTCAACACCCAGAGCCTTAAAATCTCTAGTTCTTTCTTCAGAAGCCCACTCAGGCTTCCCAGACGCTCAGGTGTCCTGTCTCTGAGTCCTTCCAGGGCTCTGCACTCAGGCATCCATTCAGGAATTCAGGGGTGGGTGGGTATGAGAGTCATCCCTCCACAATCCCCACAGCCACTGCAGTCCTCTCCAGCAGCCTGGAGCTCCCAACCCCTGGTCCTGAGCCCTCTGAACTGGCAATCACTTCTCTTGCCTATGGAGTCAGAGGTAAGACTTCCAGGCAGGACCCTTTGGGTGGAAGGATCAAAGACAGAATTTAGACTCCTGTGGGTGGGTAAGGAAACCCCCTTTAGAGAGGCTTCTCTTGGCGACTCCCTAATCTGGGGGTATAGTAAGACACGCAGGCACATGGCCAGCCCTGGCCTTACCTGAGTACTGAAGTGTAGGTGTGAAGCTTCAGTTCCAAGACAAACATCACCCAGATCAACATCACAGATGCCTCAGTTGCTCCAAGCAGCACCCGCTGGGTAATACAGCTCAGGGATGCCCAGGACAACCAGCACTGAGTGTATACCAGCATGGAGTCTGTGGATCCTGGTACTGCCAGTGGAGACTGCCCACAGGTAGACAGAGCAAACAGACCCTAGCCTGACCTGCCCCACCTATGTTGGCACAAAGGGAGTGTTTTCTCTGGTTCCAAACCCAGTGCTGCTGACTGTCCCTCGCCCGGGCCCTTCATGGGCTGTTCCAGCCTCTGTGATAGCAGAATGGTTAGGGTGGAATAAGAGGGGCTGTGCAGATGGTTTCAGGGTACAGTTGGGAGTGGTTAGGCTAGGAGTGTCTCACCTGGCCTCGGTGGTTCCTGAGGTCAGCAGAGCTTTCCTAGAAGCCTTTCTGTGTGCCAAGGGTGTCCTGAGCTGTGTGAGTCAGAGGCCTTTTCTGGAAGAGCACCCAAGCCAGAGGGGCTCTCCCGTGAACAGGCACGACAAGGCCACTTGTAGAGTAAGGCTGTGGTGAGCTGGCTGACCAGCAGGCAGGAGCAGGAGTGTGACGGGCCTGACTAGAGGGATGGATGGGCTCTGGAGAGGTCGGAAGGCTTGAGGGGTAAGCTTTGGATCCCCACTGGGACTTGGGGTACAGTGGAGCTGAGAGCTTTACCTCAAATTCACGGGAACCATGGAAGGCTTAGAGCAATTGGAAAAGGACAGGCTTATCATCCAGAATGGAAAGTGTGGCCTAGACTGGCTTCAACTCCTATCTAGCCAAGGATAACCTCCACTTCTGATCTTCCTGCCTCCACCTTGAAGTGCTGGGGATACAGGCATAGGCTACCATGTCTTCTTTATACGATGGAACCCAGCTTATGCCGGACGAGCACTCTACCACCCGAGTTAGAATCCCAGTTTCTCTAAACTCAGTTTTCTTCTGATCTGAGCCACCTTGAGAACCCCCTCCCAGTCTCTAGTGTGGTACTTGAGAGAAAACATGATTGGATTTAAGTTCAGTGTGGAGCCTTTAAATAAGTAATTATGATGGAAACATGTTCTAAGTGACAGATGAGAGGCACAGCAGCCCAGGGCCAGGCTACACCTCCACTGTCTTCCATCCTGGAACGGAGTAGGAGAGGTGGGATGGGCGCCAACACTCAGCAAGCAGACTTGGGAGTTTGGTCCTGCTCTGCTGCCGGGATCCCCAGCCTTGCCATCTGTAGTCCTCCTTCCTTGCTCTCACTCCACCAGTGTGTGAGCTGGAGCCTTAGCTCCAGGCTGTGGGCTGTGGGAGTGCGGAGGCCACTTTCCCAAGTCAATCTCCTATCACCAGGGTTTCCTATCACACCGTGGAGTGCTACGAGAGCTACACCAGGACCCAGAGAAATGGCTGGACTCAGGCTAAGGAAGGAAGCTGACCTTGAGGTGAAAATAGAAGTTGATAAATAGGGTCCTAAGCCAGAGTCCTAGGCAAGAATAGAGAGGCTCAGAGACTTGAAATCCCAGAGAGCTCTCTTTTGTGCAAGGATGCTATTCAGTTATCTCTCATGGCAAACAAGCACTAGAACAACCAGCATGACAACTATTCCCGTCAGCTCACAGTCTGATTGCAGCTGACGCTGATGGGCAGAGACCAGCTTGTGCAAAGGTCCAGTGGTGTGATCTCTCCTGTACTATGGTCTACATCTCATCCTTCTACTCACACTGTCTTAAAGGTCTGGGCTGGGGTTGAGTTTGTAATGGGCAGGGTACCATGCCTAATGTTATTCTGCGAGCTGATGCCACTTTATCCTGCACTGTGCAAACAAGAAAATCAAAGCACAGAGAGAGCTGTGATTTATCCAAGGGCATCAGACCCAGACAAGCGGAAACATCTAAGTCCTTCTCAAACTAGTGCCTTTCACTGTGGATATGGAACTCTGACCTTGAACCTATGACCTCTGTTTACCCCTCAGCAACCAGAAGGTCACATGTGTACAAGCGTGGGCTCCTGGAACTGGCAGGGACCTTGGATTGTGTTGGTCCTCGATCACCAATGGCCTACATGAACTATGGCTGTTATTGTGGCTTGGGTGGCCATGGAGAGCCACGTGATGCCATTGACTGGTGAGTGTCCACTGGGGCCCAGAGTATAACTCTTAGGACAGCTAAGGCCTAAAGGAAAACCCCCAAACTGAAGTCAGGTTTGACCCAGGAAGATCCCAGAATCTAGCACTACCCTACATACAGAGGATTTCCTGGGTTCTCAGATCAGTGGGGAGACATCTTGGTACCAGATAACCTTTACTCTGGCTGTGATCCGATGACATCATCTAGTAATCATAATCATAATCATCTAGAAACATAAAGCTAGAAGACTGTATAGCCCGCAGATCTCTGAGAATCTTTAACAATCCATTTCACAGATAAGAAAGCCAAGCTATAGAACTGTCAAATTGCTTATCTGGGCTAGCACAGAGCATAGGGTATACCCTGTGAAAGGCCTGTTCCATGCAAACTGAGAGCCAGGGTCTTTCTAGGACATTCTAGTCACTGTCATGGCTCTGCTCAGGAAGAAGCATGGTGCTCATTTCCACTTGGTACTGCAGGCCCCCAGTGCTCTCAGAGACTCAGATGCTAGCACATTGCCACAAAGCTAACTAACCAATTGCTCAGTGTAGATGCAGCTGCTTCCTCCCTAGCTGGAGACAGAAATAGCGCGAATTGGCCCTGAAGCTTGGGTGCATCCGATGACAGCTATGAATTCCTAAACTCTGGCTGTCTGGGTTCCCACACCATCTTCAGAGGTGTTTCTGCAATTCCCACACCCAGAAAACCTCCCCTGAAGCTTAGCTGAGGCTGCCACCTTCTCTGGACCTCCAGGTCCCCCCCGGCTATCCCACACCCCTTACTTAGTACCTGTTAGGTAGCTGATCTGCTTCTTTCCACAGATTGGAGAACAGGGTTGGAGCTAACTGACTGCTTAAAGTCTCAGCTGAGTGTTGACAGGTGCAAAGGCAGATGTGGCACTCAGGGAACTGTTCAACAATAAATGTTTACTGAAGCTCTATCATATGGCAGGCTAGCTAGCCCTGGAGGACACTGTGAGGAAAGGCAATGATAGGGTTCCACAGAGTTTCAGTCTTTCGGACAAATGGTATGAGGTTTGTAGTGAGAACTCAAGATTAACCTGCTTGGAGGGAGGAGAAATGGTTTTATGACAGGGTGTGATAAGAGATATTCCTAGCCTGAGAGAGAAGGAGGCATCACCACTTCTGGGTGGAATCTGGTGCCTGGGGCCAAGATGCCATTGGGTTGTTCAGAAAAAAGGCACAACCTGGACCCAGGAAGGAAGGGAAGCTCAGAGTTACAAGGAGGCAGACAGGGGTAGGCACAGGTAAGGTCAGGGAGTAAGGCTGGTATGGTAGACTTCTTCCCCAGGATTGGTACTGTGAGGGACAGCACGTCCATCAGAGGATACTTGCTCCTTGAGGATCTTTGCTAGCCCAGTCCTGCTCAGATGGGAAGGCCGAGAGAGTTCCCTCTTTCATGCACCTATTGGTCTGCCTGCTCTGTACCCCAGGTGCTGCCAGCATCATGACTGCTGCTACTCTCAAGCTCAGGAAGCTGGCTGCAGTCCCAAAATAGACCGCTATGTGTGGAAATGCATTGATCACCGCATCCACTGTGGTGAGTGCCCCACATCATGTACTCAGACTTCCCCAAGTACCCCCTGGGCATCCTGAAAGATCCAAATGGCTTCTGTGCTTTCATAGTAAGGTATCACTGCTTCCAGCTCTCCATAGACCACATAGTGTTGCCTAAGAAGTGACTTTTCACACTTGAAATACACATGCACATATTTCTCCATTGTCTGGACAAAAAGAAGGAAAGAAAAGACAGAGTCCATCATGAGGGGACTGGTAGACACACTCATGATGTATCCAAACCGTAGAATATCTCTGACCTGAAGGAAGGATGACATAGAACCATATATTTGAGAGCCTGTCTAAAACAACAGTAACAACCAAACCAAACCAAACAAACAAACAAAAAGAAACTTCAATAAAAAAAAAAAAACATGAACTATAGAGCTGGTGAGACTACATAACTGTCCTTTCATCCCTGATGCTGAGGACAGAACCCAGGATGTCCTTGACTGGTGCACTACAACTGGCTGAGGCGCTTTCTTTCTCCTGCTTCAGACTGCCAATTCCAGCTAGGGAGAAGTGAGGTGTGTACCTTAAGGCACTGGGCCATGAGGAGGGCAGCTCAGGGTGGAGCATTTGTTCAGCTCTGGGGCCCAGAGCACCAGCACTAGGCTCAGTGGTGTCCTTCCATTTATAGTTTTCTTTCAGATGCGTAATCATACAGACAGACTGTGGGTAGGGACAGAGTTGGGGTAGTGAGATCAAGTTCTCTGAAGAGCTGCAAACAAAGCAGGCACCAGGCTTCTCCCTGTTCTTTTTCTATTTTTGACAGTATTAGGGATTAGACTGAGCCTCAAAAACATTCTCTCCACTGAGCCATACAGCCCTAATTCCCCCCTCCCCATTTTTTTTTTTTTTTGGTTTTTTGAGACAGGGTTTCTTTGTGTATCCTTGGCTGACTTGGAACTTGCTCTATAGACCAGGCTGGCCTCGAATTCATAGAGCTTCAACTTCCTCTGCCTCCTGAGAGCTGGGATTAAAAGTGTGCGCCACCATTGCCTAGTTCATTTTTTCTTTTAAATGAGAATAAACACAATACAAGTTTCATTTCCTTAAATAATAGTTATTATTATTTCAATTATGAGTGTGTCTATATGTGGGTGTTTGTGTCTGCATGCAGTGCTCACATTGGACATTCCCCAGTAGCTAGAGCCACTCGATATGGGTCTAGGAACAAAGCTTAGGTCCTTAGAAAAACAGGAGGTTCTTTGAGTCACTGAACCATCTTTCCAGCCCCAAATTTTATTGCTTTAGCTGGGTTGGGGAGACAGGTCATTCAGAATGTTAAGGCCCTGGATTCCATGACCACAATGAAAAAAATATCATTTTTTTAAAAAAGAAATTTTAAGACAGGTGGTGGTGGTGCACGCCTTTAATCCCAGCACTCGGGAGGCAGAGGCAGGTGGATCTTTGTGCGTTCGAGGACAGCCTGGTCTACAAGAGCGAGTTCCTGGACAGGCTTCAAAGCTACAGAGAAACCCTGTCTCGAAAAACCAAAAGAAAAAAAAGAAAGAAATTTTATTTTTAATTCTTCAGCTTCTAATTTCTAATTTCATCATGTCTCCCCCTCTCCCTCGCAACTCTCTCATGTACTCCCACACCTTGCTCTCAGGATGCACACAGTGGAAGGAAAGAACTGACTCTAGCAAGTTGACCCCTGACCTCCTCTGTGCACACACTCAAACATGACTTCAAAATGAATATAATAAGGATCTAGTTTTTGTTTAGCCTTGCGGTTTTTCTTGTTCTCTTTTCTTCTTTCTTTCCTTCCTTTCTTATTCTTTTTAATTTTTGGTTGTTTTTGTTGCTGTTTTGTTTTTTGTTTCTTGAGTTGCCCTGGCTGTCCTGGAATTCACTCTGTAAACTAGGCTGGCCTTGAACTCAGAGATCCGCCTGCCTCTGCCTCCTGAGTGCTGGGATTAAAGGCGTGCGCCACCACTGCCTGGCTTCATTTGCTTTTTCCTAATAAATCATCGACACTATGTTTTCACATGCTTCTTGAATGTTTTTGTATCATTTGGAGCCATGTTCATTTGAGGACTTCACACAGGTCTCAGACAGTCCATATATCCTGAAATAACAGGGTTGGCCCATCCACCTAAAGCTGAACCGTAGGAGGATTTCTAGTGGTTAGGTAAAAGCCGGCATTCCTCAGAAACTTGTAAAACGGGTTTTCTGTCCACCAAAAGTAATCACTTCCCTTGCTATCAGTATATCAAAGCCCATGCTAGCTTCCAAGCTCCTACAACCCCCTATTCACAAGGACCCAGTAAGTATCTCAAAGCCCCACCTGGCATCCTGGTCCTTCTCATTTCTTCTCCTTCCCTAAACTCCTAGCCTGCTCCAGCTTCCCTCTTAGCAGTTACTTATTCTCCTTCTACCCCTCCATTCTCTGTCTTCTATTTCCCACTGTTTTTTCTTTTGCTATCTCCATTTTTTTTTCTCCTGCTCTCTCACCTTCCTTGCAGACAACCCTGACCATGCCCAGGCTTGTCACCTTTTTAAACTATCTTCCCTGGACTCTTATTCCAGGCTTGTCACCTTTTTAAACTATCTTCCCTGGACTCTTATTCCAGATGCCTCTGGATATTTTCTTTCTCTTATCCACAGTTTCAAAAATCTTCCCCCTAATGGAGCAGTTATTTTGGCAGTTTCTTTACTGTGTCTCCTTGTGTGCAACTTTCAATAGGATTGTCTTTTTGCTGTTGTGAGGTTTTTTTTTTAATATTTTAAATTCTCAGCCCTTCTTGTGGCTGCTGCTTCTGTTCTGTGGGTTGTTCTCCTTTTCATGGTAACAGCAAAACATTTTTCACTTTACTGATGCTGTAATGATCTGCTCTGCCCCTTTAAGAGACAAGCTATCCACCCACCCCACCCCACCCCCACCCACCCCACCCCACCCCCGCCACCACAGAGGCAAGCTGATCTTCAGCTTCCAGCCTGAGTCTTTTCCTTTTCCATCTCCCTCTCGAAGAAGCAGCTTCTGTCTCTCCCCACTTCTCTCTCTCTCTGTTCTTCTCCCCTTCTCCCTTTCCCTTCTAGAACCCGCTAAATAAATATCCAACCTCACTCTGCATGGCTTGCCTATCCATGTCTCTCTCACTTGCCATGACCTTGCCTGCCCAGGACCTGCTTTCGGAGACCTGCAACATGGTCTCGTGGTGTGCCCATCTGTCTGTCTCTTCTCATGGGACTAGCTGCCTGGTCGAGGTCTCTCACTCACCACATGGCTCCCTGCCTGGACCTCTTGGCCCGCTGCAGTCACTCGGGGAACTGTACTGTCCCTGCCTGGGACTGACTGCTTTTGGATCCGCTGCCCACTGCTGCCACTTGGGGACCTGCAGTGTTTCTGCCACTGCAGCCACTTGGGGGATCCGCAGCATTTTACTTAATCCATTGCAGATGCCCTAGTCAGCTGTTTGTTTATTGTTTGCCCATGTGGTTGATGTTTAAGAATTGACTGAGAAACACAGCATGGCAAAGATTTACCTGTTTTCTTCTAATAGTTTGAGATTGATGGCAGTGATCCACTTTGATTTAACTTTCATACAAACAGTAGGCTGGTCTGATTTCCTTCCTTGGCATATTGTGATACAACTGTCTCAACACTTTGCTCAAGAGTCATTCTTTCCTCTCTTAGATAACATCAGCCTCTGTTGAAAATCACTTGAGGGCTGGAGAGATGGCTCAGAGATTGAGAGCACTGGCAGCTCTTCCAGATATCTTGAGTTCAATTCCCAGCAACCACATGGTGGCTGACAGCCATTTGTAGTGAGATCTGGTGCTCTCTTCTGGTGTGCAGGCAAACATGCATTGCAGAACACTGCAAATAATAAGTAAAACTTTAAAAAGAAAGAAAGAGAAAATCACTTAATCCTGGATGGGTGATGGCTGTGTCATACTGAGCTGTTGACAACCTATCTGAGCTGCATTTCCTTACCTGGAAAGCCGAGTGTTGCGAGATGAGAGTTGAGAACGTGTGTGTGTGTGTGTGTGTGTGTGTGTGTGTGTGTGTGTGTGTGTGTTATTTTCCCTCTTCCTGTCCCTTCACTAAGCTTCTAAAGACTGCTCTGGAGGCAGAAAGGAGCAGGCGCATCATTGGAGGGTGGCTTTGATAATCACTGTTCCTGACCCTGTCCCCCTGGCAGGAAGGCAGAGCTGGCAGTATAAAGCTGGGGTGAGCCAGAGGGCGTACTGGGTAAAGATGCTTGCTGCCAAGCCTAATGACCTGAGTTTGACCCATGGGTTCCACATAGTAGCAAAATGAAAAACCAAAGTGTACCATGGTGTATCCACCCCAGTCCCCAGCCCCACCAAAATGATCCCTTCAAAAACAAAATAAATACATGTAAAATAATTTTTAAAGATTTATTAATGTATTTGAGTGCTCTATTTGCATGTATGTCTACATGAAAGGGGCAACAGTTCCCACTGTAGATGGTTGTGAGCCACCATGTGCTTGCTGAGAATTGAACTAAGGACCTCTGGAAGAGCAGCTCTTAACCACTGAGCCATCTCGATCCAGACGTAAAATAATTATTTTAAACAGTAAAGTTGAATCACTATGGAAACATTACATCCCTCTGTCCATGCTTAGTATATGCAAGGCAAGCACTGTACTACAACTGAACTATATCTTGTTCATTTTGTGTTGGGGAAACTGAGGCCCAGGGTAAGAAGTGACTTGTCCCTGAACTACTAGCACAGGCAAAGAGGTGAAGTAAGACTTTGTGGGGAAATGGATCTTATAGCTTTCCTACCCTCCCCTTCAATAGCATGTTATCCTCAGTTACTGCCTGCGTGGCATGGTGACCATGGAATGTCACCACTATGTCTGCTGTTAGTCTGTGTTTGTTTTCAGAGCTCTTTCCCCTGAGTCACACAGAAAAATCCAAGGTACCTGTTAAACGTTTTCAACAAAAAATATTCTGTTATTCTGTTGAGATATTCTGAACATAGTTGTTTATTTGATTATAAGTTTGGCCCATTTTCCATTTATGGGTCTGACAAACATATTTAAAATTTTTCAGCCTATGATAATATTTACTAGCAGGCTTTAATTAATTTATTTATTTTCTTTTTCTTTCCTTTTTTTTTTTTTTTTTTTTTGAGACAGCGTTTCTCTGTGTAGCCCTGGCTGTCCTGGGATTCGCTCTGTAACCAGGCTGGCTTTGAACTCACAGCTTCCCCTGCTTCTGCCTCCCGAGCTGGGGTTAAAGGTATGCACCACCATTGTTTGGCTCAGGCTTTAGGTCTAACAAACCCATGGGAGCTAGCTTTCCTTTTCCTTTAAATATTATTTATTTTTGAGATAATTGTCTCACAGCATAGCACAGCCTGACTGGCCTTGAACTTTCCAAACTTCTATCTGGATTGCTTGGGTTACAAGTGTGCACCAGTGGCCTGGCTCTTGAATTTATCTCAACAGTGAGATTCCTCTGGATCTGAGGCCACGGAGAGAGAGGAATCTGTCCTACTTTTGGCCTACTTTTGGGCCTTTCTTGCCCAGGAGAAGACTTTTCCTAGGCTGGAATCCTGGGTGACTCCTTCCCAGGTCTGTGACCTTGGTTATGGAATCCCTTTGAGCCTCACTTTTGTAGTCAGTGAAAAGGGAATAATGGGACATAATTGTGGGCTGGCAAGATGTCTTGGTGGTTAAATGTGCTGACCTCCAAGCCAGACAACCTGAGTTTAATTCTCAGGGCCCACAGGGTGAAAGGGAAGAACTGACTTCTGTAAGTTGTCCCCTGACCTCTATAATCACTCTGTGACACATATGCACAAACACACACAAAAATTAAAAAATAATAAAATAATTTCAAACATGAGAAATTTGAAAAAAAGTTGTTGGTTTCTGTGAGCACTGGAAGTAATACAGGGATGTAGTTCATTCTCTCAACACTGTCTCTCCTGCCCTTCTTCCTCTCTCTTTCCTGTCTGCGAATGCACACACCACAGCGTGTGCCTCAAAGGACACTTGCAGGAGTCAGTTCTCCTCTTCCACCGTGTGGCTCCCGGGAGTCAGGCTCAGGCTGTCAGCCCTGGCAGCAGCGCCTCTACTGATAGAGCCTTCTTGCTAGCCTCAAAATGCTTGGGAAAAAAAAAGATTTTAATTTTATATGTATAGGTGTTTTGCCTCCATGTATTGCTGTGCCTGGTGCCCACAGAAGTCAGAAGTGGGCGTCAGAGACTGAGACAGTTAGAGACTTGGGAACCAGTGGGTACTGGGAATCAAACCCAGGTCCTTTGTAAGAACAAGTGCTCTTAACCTCTGTGCCATCCCTCTCCCCCACATGAAGAAACCAAGCAGGACAAGTGCCATCTCTATTATAACATGGACACAGTAAACCTGAGAACAGTAGAGTGACAGGAAGCAGGTGACCCCATTGTCTGAAACAGTAAATCTCTGCAGACAAAAGAGATGAGTCATTACTCAGGACCAGAGACAAACGAGGAGTTAAAGGTTACAGAGTTTCTCTTGGAGTGACGGAAATGTGGAATTAAGTAAATACTAACAATGTGAATGAACTCAATTTAACTAATTTGTTTAATTAATTACTTAACACCTAATTAGTTATTAAGTTCTCTTTTTTCCACATGTGCTTTGGTATTTTGCCTGCATGTATGTTTGTGTGAAGGTATCCGATCCCCTAGAACTGGAGTTACAGACAGTGAGCTGCCATGTGGGTGCTGTGAGTCAACCTTGGGTGCTGGGAACTTACTTGGATCCTTTAGAAAAGCAGTAAGTGGGGGGCTGGAGAGATGGCTCAGTAGTTAAGAGCATTGCCTGCTCTTCCAAAGGTCCTGAGTTCAATTCCCAGCAACCACATAGTGGCTCACAACCATCTTTAATGGAGTCTGGTGTCCTCTTCTGGCCTGCAGGCATACACATAGACAGAATATTGTATACATAATAAATAAACATTTAAAAAAAGAAAAGCAAATTAGAGCAAGTGCTCTAAATTGTTGAACCATATCTCCAGTCTTAGCTTTTATTTATTAATTTTGCTTTTCAAGACGGGTTTTGTTTTTTTTTTTTTATGTAACAGCTCTGGCTGTCCTGGAATTCGCTCTGTAGACTAGGCTGGCCTTGAACTCAGAGATCCACTTACCTCTTCCTCCCTTGTGCTAGGATTAAAGGCAAGTGCCACTACCATCCAGCTAATTTTTAATTTTTGAGTCAGGGTCTCATGCAGGCCAGCCTGGCTTCAAATTTACTAGGCAGTCAAGGATCACCTTGACCTTCAGATCTTTCTGCCTTCACCTCCCAAGTGCTGGGACTACATGAGTGTGCTACCATGCCAGTTTTGGTCCTGGAGATAGAGCCTGGAGTGTTGTGTGCTAAGCAGGCATACTGCCAGCTCGGCACCCCCAGCCCTGGGATGGAATGTGTAACAGCCCATCTCACCCTGGATGTGTAATAGCCATACAAAGTAGAGAATGATCTTGTTCTATTTACTTACATTTTACTTTTTTGGTTGGTGGCAGGAACAGAACCCAGGGCTTCATTCAAGCTTGGCAAGTAGTCTACCAATTAGCTATGCCCTCAGCAGTGCTCCTATTTGACATAAAGGTTAGACAAGGTCACAGAGCTAAGAGCAGGAACTGCAAATCCAGGCCTGATAGTTGCCAGGCAATCAGTCTTATCTGAAAGGATTCCTACGTGAAACAGGGTAATATTGACACAGAAGAGGAGCCAGAAGCTTGTCCATTTGACAAGTTTAGTTCATTTCGTGTAGAAGCTGACTGTCATTGCTGCCTTCTGGAGTGCTCTTGTCCATGGAGGGCTACTGCAAAGCTATAAGGTATCACAAAAGTGTTCTGCCTCCAACTTTACTGACTTACCTGGCATTTATTCTCAGGGTCTGCTCTAACCTCTGTTTCCCTACTTCTTCCAGGACCCGCAGAGAACAAATGCCAAGAAGTCCTGTGCAAGTGTGACGAGGAGCTTGCATACTGCCTCGCTGGGACAGAGTACCACCTGAAATACCTCTTCTACCCCTCGCTTTTATGTGGAAAGGACTCACCCAAGTGCCACTGACAGGCTGGTCTTGAAATGTTCGTTTGCCCACAGAAATGAACAACAGCATTCAATTTCTGCAGGAGGTAGTGGGAGCCAAGTGGTAAAGCCTCATGCTTGCTTTCTCCCTCCATTCAGGAACTCAGGAGTGTGAGCCTGTGGAGCTGTAGTTTGATAAGAGCTGAAAGTCTTGGTCTGTTTCATACAACTCCCATTGTGCTGGGCTGGGCCATGTGCTGTCTTCTAATCACTGTTGGTGGCTGGTGGTCAGTGGGAATGAACTCCTGCTCGAGGCCTGGCTGTAAGAAGATTGCTGCATGGTACACCTAGAAATTGTTACTGTAATAAAAATATTACAGTATTTTCTCTGTCTTTAGCAAGTAAAATTCATTTCCTAAAAGCTGGGTGTGGTGGCACACACCTGCAATATTCTGTTGGAGGCTGCGGATGGAAGATCATCTGAGCCCAGGAGTCTGACACCAGCTTGGGCTGGACAGAAGAACCTCTTTCTAAAAGAAAAAGAAAACCATTTCCTGGGTTGGTGGCACCATTGTGTATTAAAGCATTTGTATGGCATGTCAGAGATTCTGAGTTTGATTTCCAACATCTCAAGAAAAAATTCAAAGAAAAGAAAATGTAGAGCAAGCTATAAAGTCTAAAAAGTGAAATCACAGGCTGGAAGAATGCTCAGTAGTTCACAGTACGAAATCACAGGCCAGAAGAATGCTTAGTAGTTCACAGTACTTCCTGCTCATTCAGAGGACCTGAGTTTGGCTCCCAGCATGCATACTGTTTAACTGTTTTAACTGTGGCTCCAGAGAATCTGACACATTTGGCTTCTGCAGGTACCTGCCCTCACATTCATTCATTCTCTCTCTCTCTCTCTCTCTCTCTCTCTCTCTCTCACACACACACACACACACACACACACTAATTCTCTCAGAGAATCTGACACATCTGGCTTCTGCAGGTACCTGCTCTCACATTCTATCTCTTTCTTTCTCACACACACACCAATTAAAAATATTTTTTTTTAAAGACAACATTCCAAATCTTTGGAATGCAAGATGGAAGCTTTTGTTCTCTGCCTGCTTACCCTCACTCTAGATAGCAAAGTCCATTTCTTTGCTGGCTTTAGAGTGTACTTCTTTGGGATTCCAGTGTCTACTGAAGATCAGTCAAGACACTCAGCCTCAATGAATGAGCAACTAACTACTGGGTTCTTGGACCATCCACACATAGACAGTTATTGTGTATAAATCATTCCAACAAACCCCTTTCTATAGACAGAATTCTGTTCCTCTAGAGAACCCTGACTAATACAGATTTTGGTACCAGAAGAGGTTCTAGAGCAAGGATGAATCTTTGAGATTCTGGAATAGACTTCAATTCGCCAACACCTACAGCTCCTGTAGCCTCTCCTGTAGCTTGGAGAGTACTGAAAGCCCATGCTGTGAACTATATTATAAACTTGGGAGAAACACATTTCATTTTCCTGATTCACCAGTTGTGAGCAGCAGTGGAACTGTTGGTGACCCTGTAAGAGCTGCCCTTTTTCCTATGTTGATTCTGACTAAGAGTATGGGAGGTCTTTCCATTTTCTTCCTCAATTCCTTCAAAGACTTAAAGTTCTTGTAATATAGGTCTTTTACTTCTTTGGTTAGAAGTACCCCAAGATATTTATATTACTTGTGGCTACTGTGATTTCTTTCTTAGCTCATTTATCATCTGTATAAAGGAGGGTTACTGATTTTTTCTTTCTTTTTTTTAAATGTTCTGATTTTTATTTAGACCGTTGTGCCTTTTTAAGAGATATTTCATTTGCCTATTGATTTTTATTGTGGTAGAAGTAATCTTAGTGGCTTTTATTTATGAAAACTTGCTGTTTACTCTCAGGATCATTACTAATTTTTTTTTAAGATTTGCTTATTTACTATGTGTAAAGTATTTTGCCTGTATGTATGCCTGCAGAGGGCACCAGATATCATTATAGATGGTTGTGAGCCACCATGTGGTTGCTGGGAATTGAACTCAGGACCTTTGGAAGTGCCAGTGCTCTTAACTACTGAGCCATCTCTCCAGCCCTCTCTGTTAATCTTGTATTCTGCTTCATTACTGAAGGAGTTTATGAGTTGTAGCAGTTCCCTGGTAGAATTTTTGAGGTTACTTATATAAACTATCATATCATCAGCAAATATTGACTTGGACTTCTTTTCCGATTTATATTCCTTTGATCTTCTTTTGTTGTTTTATTACTCTAGCTAAGACCTCAAGTACTGTATTGAATAGATATGGAGAATGTGGACAACCTTGTCTTGTTCCTGATTTCAGTGGGATTGCTGTGAGTTTCTCTCCATTTAGTTTGATGTTGGCTTGCTGCATATTGCCTTTATTATGTTTTGGTATGTTCCTTCTATTCCTGCTCTCTCCAAGACTTATCATGAAAGGGTATTGAATTTTGTCAAAGTTTTTTTTTTTTTCAGCATCTGAGATGATCGTGTGGTTTTATCTTTCAGTTTGTTTATATGATGGATTGACAGATTTTTGTATGTTGAACCACCCCTGCATCTCTGGGATGAAGCCTACTTGGTCATGGTGAATGATTTTTCTGATGTGTTCTTGGATACAGTTGGCCAGTATCTTATTATTTTTGCATTAATGTTCATGTGTGAGACTAGTCTGTAACTTTCTTTGTGTTGTTTAGGTATCAGGGTAACTGTAGTGTTGTAAAAAGAGTTTGCAAATATTCCTTCTATTTCTATTGTGTAGGAAAATTTGAGGAATAATGATATTAGTTCTTCTTTGAAAATCCTGTAGAATTCTGCGCTGAAACCATCTGGTTCTGGCTTTTTTAGTTGAGAGGTTTTGATGACTGTTTCTATTTCTTTAGCAGTTATAGGTCTATTTAATTTGCTCATCTGGTCTTGATTTAATTTTGATCAGTGATATTTATCCAGAAAATTTTCCATTTCCTTTAAGTTTTCCAATTTTGTGGAGTACAGGTTTTTAAAGTATGATCTGTTGATTCTCTGGATTTCCTGTGTCTGTTGTTATGTCCCCTTCTCATTTTTGATTTTGTTAATTTGGATATTCTTTCTCTGCTTTTGGTTAGTTTGGATAAAGGTTTGTCATTTTGTTGATTTTCCCAAAGAACCAACTCTTTGTCTCATTGATTCTTTGTATGTTACTTGGCCTTTTTCCTTTGCTGCTCTTAACAGTTTTTCTTTGTTCTGTATATTTAGTGTTTTGGTTATTATGTGGTAAGGAGACTTTTTTTTTTATGTTCTGTAAGCTTCTTGTATTTCCATAGGCATGTTCTTCTTTAGGTTGGGCAAGTTTTCTTCTATGATTTTGTTGAATATATTTTCTGTCCCTTTGAGTTGAACGACTTTTCTTTATTCTATCCTATTCTTCTTAGGTTTTGCCTTTCCATGAATACTTTGTGTTAAGCTTTTGTTAGATTTAATGTTTTCTTTGACTGTTTTCTCTATCATATCTTCAACACCTGAGATTCTCTCTCCCATCTCTTGTATCCTGTTGTTTATGCTTGCATTTGTGTTTCCTGATCATTTACCCACATTTTCCATTTCCAGAATTCCCTCAGTTTGTGTTTTCTTGTCGTCTCTATTTCAGTTTTCAAGTCTTGAATCATTTCATCTGTTTGATTGCTTTTTCTTGGTTTTCTATAAGGATTTTGTTGACTTCCAATTTTTTGTTTGTCTTTTCCTCTAATTCTTTCAGGAAATTTTTCATTTCCTCTTTAAGGGCCTCAAACATTTTCTAAATATTTTTAAGGTCATTTTCTTCTGCTTCATCTGTGTTGGGATGTTCAAATCTTGCTGTTGTATAGCCATTAATTTTTGATGGGTGTGTGTTTTTTTGTTTTTGAGTATGTTCTTACCTGGTCTATCCATCTTTTCCTCCAATGGAGTTGCCTCTATTAGAGAAAATAGTGAATCAAAGAAATCACATCAATCACAAAGTGAATCACATCAATGAAAGAACTGAAAAAAAAAGTCAGGTGTGGTGGCAAACACCTTTGATCCCAGCATTCCAGAGACAGAGGCAGATGGATCTCTGTGAGTTTGAGGCCAGCCTGGTCTACAAAATGAGTTCCAGGAAAGCCAGGGCTATTACACAGAGAAACCCTATCTTGAAAAAGAAACAAACAAAATATGCAAAAATTAGTGCCACCATCAATGCCTTGAAAGATGCAGGCACAGTGGGTTCCACCACACCTCCCTTTAACTCTATCTGGCCAGTAGAGAAGACAGATGGATCATGAAGAATGACAGCTATTGAAAACTCAATCTGGTAGTGATTCCGATTGCAGCTGCTGTACCAGATGTGGTGTGCTTACCTGAGCAGATTAACACATCTCCTGGTGCATACTGACCTAGCAAGTGCCTTATTCTGTATATTTGTCTATAAAGACCACCAAAATGAATTTGTTTTCAGTTGGCAAGGCCAGAATTTCACCTTTCCAGTTTTACCTCAAGAATATATTAACTCTCCAGCCCTATGTCATAACTTAGAAGGGATCATCCGTCTCTTCCACTCAGTATCACACTGGTGCACTATATTGATGACATTATGCTACTTGGATGAAGTGATCAGGAGGTAGCAATAGCTTTGAACTCATTGGTAACACATATGTGGATCAGAGGATGAGAAATAAATCCAAACAAACTTCAAGGATTTTCTACCTCTGTGAAATTCTCAGAGTGCAGTGGTGTAGGACACACTGGGATATTCTAAGGTAAAGGTAAGTTATTGCAACTGGCCCCTCCCATCAACAAGGAAGAAGCACATTTAATAGGCCTAATTGGATTCTGAAGACAGCACATTCTTCATTTGAGTGTTATTCCTGCCCATATTCCAAGTGACTCGGAAAGCTGCTAGCTGTGTGTTTGTGTGTTCAGTGGTGGGGTGGGAAGTCCTGGAACAGGAGAAGACTCTGCAAAAGTTTCAGGATGCTCTACCACTTGGACCATGATCCAGCAGAACTGATGGTACTTGAGGTGTCAGTGGCAAATAGAGATGCTGATTGGGAGAGCCTTTGATAGCCCCTGTAGGTAAATCACAGAAGAGACCTTTGGGACTTTAGTTCTTTGGCCTGTCATTGGGCCTTGTTGGAAATTGAACTTTTTTTAAAAAAAAACTTATTTATTATGTGTACAGTGCTCAGATTTGTAGAGGTCTGAGTGTTTCACAAGAACACCTCCCTTTTAATGACCCCATGTAATGCACGTCTGCTCTACATGCTATGGTATAGTTCATGAATCAGGCAAGGGGTTCGAGACTGAAACACACATACACACACACACACACACACACACACACACACACAC